TTGGGGAAGGGATGGCTGGTCTGAACAGGAATGGGCCCAGCAGTGTCAGAGACGCCCAGGTATTCTTCATACCGGGAGCATGAACGCGCGGAGGAGAGCCTCCCAGCAGAGCAACCATCGCACTAAGTGGGGCAATGACGAGCTTAGCAGAATCCACCACGGCAAGAGAAGCGTAACCCGCACCGACCAAAAATGCTGATTGACCCGCCGTGGCGTCCCGTTAGCGGTCACGATCAACCGCCACAAGCCTGCATAAAGTTTATATCGTTCACGCTTGACGAGATGGCCAGGCTCTACATCAATCCCCGAGTAGAAAGGGTGCAACGCGGACGTTGGCGGGTGGCCGAGCGCGTATAGGATAAGGTGTGTCTCGGGACATGTCCGAGGAGATTGGACGCGCTCGATTTTGGACCCACAGGATTCTACATACGACAGGAGTGGAAGCCTGTGTCCATCAGATGCAACAGGGAAAGGACTGGTGGAAGTGGGGAATCATTATGCACAGCAATTGCCAGGACGCGCGTACAGACATGTCCAACGTCTATCCCGAGAGTGCTGCCAACGGAAATGGTTTCTACACATTATGCTGAGAGCTTCGGCCCGCATATTGTTTTTAACTTCTTGAGATCTGTTGGCGAGCCAATGCTTGTGGGCGAGGTACGCCAATCACAGAAAATTGTGCAGAGCGAGGTTGACAACCAGGCAAATTATGCACGCCGGTCGTTGGAAGTAGGTCTGGGTTCCCTGATCTCGATCTACTTTAACCGCCTTCCTACGTCATGCTTTTCCCAACCATCCAGTGGTGCCGGGTCTTCGTTTTGAAGAGACAGCGCCCCGCGTTCTCCTCCCGCCTCCTCCTTCCTCCTCCTCCTCCCTCCTCCCACCCGTGCCTCTGCCCTCCGCATGTCTACCATTTCGGGACACCCATCACACGTTTCGTGGCCCCATAGGGAGCTCCACCGAAGGCTCCAGTGGGAGGGTTCGCATGGCACCAGCGCGTCCAAATCTGCACCCCCCTCACGTTTCGTGACCCTATAGGGAGCTCAGCCGAAGGCTCCAGTGGGAGGGTTCGTATGGTACCACCGCACCCAGTTCGGCACACCCCTCATACGGTTCGTGGCCCCATAGGAAGCTCCACCGAAGGCTCCAGTGGGACGGTTCGCATGGTACCACCGCACCCAGTTCGGCACACCCCTCACACGGTTCGTGGCCTCATAGGGAGCTCCGCCGAAGGTTCCAGTGGGAGGGTTCGCATGGCACCACCGCATCCAATTCGGCAGACCCCTCACACGGTTCGTGGCCCCATATGGGAGCTCCACCGAAGGCTTCAGTGGAAGAGTTCGCATAACACCACCGCGCCCAGTTCGGCACACCCCTCACACGGTTCGTGGCCCCATGTGAGCTCCACCGAAGGTTCCAGTGGGAGGGTTCGCATGGCACCTCCGCGCCCAATTCTGCACACCCCACACACGTTTCGAGGCCCGATAAAGGGGGCTCCACCGAAGGCTCCAGTGGGAGGGTTCGCATGGCACCACCGCACACAATTCGGCACACCATTCGCACGGTACGTGGCCCCATAGGGAGTTCCATCGAGGGCTCCAGTGGGAGGGTTCGCATGGCACCGCCGCATCCAGTTCGGCACACCCCTCACACGTTTCGTGGCCCCATAGGTAGTTCCACAGAAGGCTCCAGTGGGAGGGTTCGCATGGCACCGCCGCGCCCTATTCGGCACACCCCTCACACGTTTCGTGGCCCCACACGTTTCGTGGCCGCACAGGGAGCTCCATCGAAGGCTGCTCCAGTGGGGGAGTTCGCATGACACCACCGCACAAAATTCGGCACACCCTTCACACGTTTCGTGGCCTCATAGGGAGCTCCACCGCAGGCTCCAGTGGGAGGGTTTCCCCATAGGGAGCTCCACCGAAGGCTTCATTGGGAGGGTTCGCATGGCACCACCGCGCCCAGTTCGGCACACCCATCACACGGTTCGTGGCCCCAGAGAGCTCCACCTAAGGCTCACCACCGCGCCCAATTCGGCACACCCGTCACACGTTTTGTGGCCCCATCGGGAGTTCCACCGAAGGCTCCAGTGGGAGGGTTCGCGTGGCACCATCGCATCCAATTCGGCACACCCCTCACACGTTTCGTGGCCCCATAGGGATCTCCACCGAAGGCTCCAGTGGGAGGGTTCGCATGGCACCACCGCGCCCAATTCGGCACACTCCTCAGACTGCTCGTGGCCCCATAGGGAGCTCCGCCGAAGGTTCCAGTGGGAGGGTTCGCATGGCACCGCCGCGCCCAATTCGGCACACCCCTCAGACGTTTCGAGGCCCCGTCAGGAGCTCCACCGAAAGCGGTACACACAATGCGGTATCGTTGATTACTTATTTCTTCTGGTCGACGGGTATTCATGATCGGTCTCATCGCGAAGTGGAAGGGCCGTTTCCCCGAGGGGTGTGTCGTTCACCCCCGTATAAGAGAGGGCCACTCTACGTTCCCACGCTCATCTCGATCCCATGTGCCACTGAAGTGCCACAGGTTTTGAGGCGCAAAGCGGGCGCCCTGCAGTCGCATGAAAGCAAGAGCTAATCTGCTCGCGTGTACGCATGTATGTCTGTCTGTTTGTCTTCTGTCTGTCTGTCTGCCTGCCTGTCTGCCTGCCTGTCTGTCTGTCTGTCTGTATGTATGTATGTATGTATGCATGCATGCATGTATGTATGTACATTTATATACGTATGCATGTATGTATGTAAATTTGTATGTGTATACGTGTGCACACATGTATGCATGTACGTATGTGTATGCATGCATGCATGTTTGTATGCGTGCTTGCATGTATGGAATGCATGTATGCGTGTACGTGTGCATGCAGGCATGTATGTACGTGTGGTTGTTTGCATGTATGCATATATGTACAATTATGTATGAATGTATATGCGTAGGTGTATGTGTATGCATGTATGTGTGTCTGTATGCATGCATGCATGTGTGTACGTATGTACGCATGCATGCAGGTATGCACATTTGTATGCGTGTATGTATGCGTGTGTGAATGTGTATATACACATGGTTTCCTGTATGCGTGCATGTATGTATATATGTATGTATGTATTTATAGCGTTATGCATGTTTGTAGACATATATATGTATATATATATATATATGTATGTCTGTATGTCTGTACGCATGTTCGCATGCATGTGCGCATGCATTTATGCATATGTGTATGTATTTATGCATGTATGCATGTACAGTGCATGCCTGTATGTATGTATGTATGCATGAATGCATGCATGCATGCATTTATGTATGTATGTATGCATGCATGCATGCATGCATGCATGCATGCATGTATGTATGTATGTATGTATGTATGTGTGCATGCATGCTTGTGCGTATGCATGTAATGTATACATGCCATAGGGATCCTATAGGGACCCTATAGGGATCCTATAGGGATCCCTATAGGATCCGATAGGGATCCTATAGGGACCCTATAGGGATCCCATAGGGATCCTATAGGATCCTATAGGGTCCTATAGGAATCCTATAGGGTCCTATGAGATCCAATAGGAATCCTATAGGATCCTATAGTATCCTGTAGGGCCTCCGTTCCAGAGCCTCGCCGGAGCAAACGTCGGAACCTGCTTGGGGTTTCGTTGGGCGGACATAAGGAAAGGTTTTTTTTGTCGGGTTGCTGGGTTGCTGGGTTGCTGGGGGGGGGCTAGCAACGGCGACCTTGTCGTCCGCCTTGGGTACTAGTAGTCGAGGCGGTCAGAGCGAGCGCGTCGGGACGCGTCTCTCATGACGGCCTTGACCTTGTTGTTGTTGTTGTTGTTGTTGTTGTTGTTGATCTTGTTGTCGTTGTTGTGGTTGTTGTTGTTGTTGTCGTCGTCACCCCCGCGACCCACCCGCGACCCACCCCGCGACCCACCCCGCGACCCACCCGCGACCCACCCCGCGACCCACCCGAGACCCACGCCGCGACCCACCCCGCGACCCACCCCGCGACCCACCCGCGACCCACCCGCGACCCGCCCGCGACCCGCCCTGCGACCCACCCAGCGACCCACCCGCGACCCATCCGTGACCCAGCCGCGACCCACCCGCGACCCACTTGCGACCCATCCGCGATCCACCCCGCGACCCACCCGCGACCCACCCGCGACCCACCCGCGACGGATCCACATTGGTTTGAACAAAAATCGGCGCTTGCGGCGGGCTCGTTGTATAATTTGTGAAAGTTTGGCGCTTGCGGCGGGCTTCTTCACAGTCTCGCAGACTGCCGACGTCCCCGCCACACCCTCACTCTTATCCGCATCTGCGGGGCGTTACGTGTGTAAATAGGTATGTATGTATGTGTGTATGCATGCATGTATGTCTGTATGTTTGCATGCATGTATGTATGTATGTATGTATGTATGTATGTATGCATGTCTACAACACATATATATATATATAGGCATGCATGCATAGCTGTATATATGAATGTATGCGCACATGCACGCATTTGAGTATGTGTGCGTATATTTGTGTAATGCATGTCTGTAAGCATGTAAGTGAACATGCATGTATGTATGCATGTACGTACGTCGTATATGCATGAATGTGCTGTGTGTATGTAGGTGCATAAACGTGGGTATGCAGGTATGTGTACATGCATGTATGTATGTGCGTACGTATGCATACACGTATGCTTTATGTATGCATGTGTGCATGCATGTAGGTATTTATGTATGCAGGTATGTACGCACGCATGTACGTGTGTATGCATGTTTGTATGTAGGTATGCATGCATGCATGTCTGGATGTATGCATGTATGTATGTATGTATGCATGTATGTATGCATGCATGCATGCATGCATGTATGTATGCATGTATGCATGTATGCATTTCCGCATGCGTATAGACATGTGTGTGTTTGCATCAATGTATGCATGTATGTATGCATGTATGTATGTTTGCATGCATGCATGCCGGTAGGTAGGTAGGTAGGCATGCATGCATGCATGCATACATGCATGTTTGTATATATGGATGCATACATGCATTTATGTATGGTTGTATGTAGTACGGGTGTGCATTCCTGTGCTTAAGTAGGTTGATCAGGGAGCGTGGTAGGCAACCGAGCTCTCAAGGAGGCAGCTGGAGGCAGCTGGGGGGGGGGGCGGTGGGGAGGCGACGTCGCGAGCATGCCCTCTCGTCCCGCATCCCCATCCCTGTTCATCCGTTTTCTTCCTCCTCTCTATTTTCCCCTGGCTCCTTCCTCTTTTCCCCGTTCCCATCCCCTGCTCGTCGTGCGTGCGCCCAAAAGCCCGTGGGCGCTCTGCGAGTGGCGAGTCCGCCGTCCCCCTGAAGCGGGCGTTGCCAGGCTGCGAACCAGTTCAAGCTCCAGAAGGCTTGGCAGGAGGCGCCATGGAGTGAAGAGCAAGAGGGAAGGGGATGAGAACCATGGGCATCACGAGGAAGAGCAATGGGCAGACGAGGACGAAGGCGAGAGGACAGGAGGACGAAGAGGAAGGGGACGAGGGAGGTGAGCAGGAGAATGGGGACGATGACTGGGACGAGCGGGCGAGGATAAGGCATGCTGCAGGAGGAGGAAGTGGAGGAGCAACAGGAAGGGGATGAGGGGGATGGCGAGGAGGCGGAGGATCTGGACGCCAAGCACGACTACTGTAGGTTCGCGCCGTGTTGACGCGGCGGCGAAGCTAGCGACCCCCCACAGGAGGCAGACATGCGGAAGAAAGAACAAGCTTTCCCGAGAGGACGAGAACGCAAAGTCAATGGGTTGCTCTTGCAGCCTTCTCGCCCAATGGTGCCCGCTTCAAGGTCTGCCGAAGAGGCCGAGAGGCCAGGAGGCAAGAAGGCACCCATTTGATACCAGTGACCTTATGATATTTCCCTGCCACAGAAACCGCTGCGCAGTGCATGGGTCATGTCAAGTCGTGCTCTTATGAACTTCTGGGGAGGGGACTTGGCAGGCGAAGGTATCTTGCAGCATTCTTTGTACATCTTGGGTTTGCTCTGGCCTTCCTCTTCCTCGTCCTTCTCCTCATCCTCCATTTATCGGTGCGACTCTCCGAGGAGGAGGAGGAGGCGGAGGAGGAGGAGGAGGAAGAGGAGGAGGAGGATGAGGAGGAGGAGGAGGAGGAGGTGTAGTATAGCCAGAGACTGGGGCCCCCAGGCCCAGGGGCTGCCCGCATCCCCACATCCACACCCCCCCGCCCCCCCAGTAGCCCGTTTTGTCCCTGGAGGTCTGGCAGTCCTCGGGGACTTTTGGGCCGCTCCTTTTAAGTTGAGCGTGTCCCTCTACAGGAGGGAGATTCAACAATAGGAAAAATAGACTGGGGACGATCATTTTGATTATGTTTGAATGTTATTGGGAATTGTTTTGCCCGTTTTGTCGCCGGAGGCCTGGCGCCCCAGTCCGACGGGTATGAAGGGGGTTGGACGAGGGGGCTCGCTAAACCACTTGTCGCCCCATCGGGCTGGTTGATTTTTCCCATCTTCGGAACCCTCCTACCCGGGCCTTCTGGGGTCCTTCTATGGGCTTCTTGCGGGTCTCTTAGGCCGCTTGGGGCGTTAATTTCCGAAGGCCTTCTGTGGGGGCCGTCTTGCAGCCGTCTTTGCCGCGCGGTGGGCTTGGCGGGGCATCGTGTCGGCGCCTCTCGGGGCTTCGTTGGCGCCGTCTGTTGCCCCTCAAGTGCGCCCGTTGGGCCGTTCCCTGGAGTGATCCCGTGTCGCCCTTGAGGCTCAGTTCCGAGCTTTCTTGGGCCACCTGAGGTTATCTTGAGTCTCTGGGCCCCTTGGGTCCCCGCGTGCTCTGCGAGCCGTCGTTGATCTTATGGGGCCGCCCGGCCGGGGTCGAAGCGGCCGACTTGGTACTTCTGGGTTGCCAGGGTGGGGGATAGGACAGTTATCTCCACTTCCGGCCTGCTGGCTCCGAGGGATCAACAAAACGTTTTATTTTAGGATAAACTTGAATCCTTTGCGAATGTTGTTTAATTATCTTGGAATCGCACCATGTCTTTTGCTATACAGATCTACTTCCTGGTTCTGCCACTCCCCGCCCTTCTTTTCAAAGGAGATAGTTGGTTGTCTCCTGTCCCTTGGGTCGGGCGGGGGGCGGGGTAGTTGCTTGTCCTTGAGTTTTCGGCTTCGCTTCGGCACGTCGGGCGTCAAGGCGTTGGCGGCGGCGACGATCTCCAGAGGGGGAATAATGAGGACCAGGAGGCACAACGCGTGGCCTCTAAGAAGCCCTTGAGGCCCTTCATGCGCCCGTCATGGCCCTCAGGAGCCCGTAAGGGGCCCTTGTGGCCCTTCGGGAGCCCTTCAGGGATGACCAGACAAGATGGTGGGACGAGGCCAGACGGGAGGACCAGACCAGACGGGGGGGCAAGACCAGACGCGAGGGGCGTGCCGGGACGGACAGGACGCGTGGTGTAAAGCTCCCTTGGGGCCGCGAGCCGTGCGAGGGCCCCCCCCCATCATGGGCCCTCTCGGCCTCGGTCTGGATGGAAGTCCCCCAGGAAGTCCGCCGACGGACTTCCTTCACTCCCAGAGCTGCCCAAGACGTCCGTCGGCGGACTTCCTTCACTCCCCAGGAAGTCCGCCGACGGACTCCCTTCACTCCCGACGGACTCGTTCACACATTTCATCCCAGACAGGAGTTCACCCTGTGTCGAGAGACAACCGAGCAGGCCATAGCCACTCATCCATTCCAAACTCAATCAATCACAACGATGCCAAATCGAGGCAGCTGAGCTATATTACAATGGCCTTACGGGCGGTGCCGCCGACCCTGAAGGGGGATGACGACGGCGACGAAGAACAACCTTCAAACACCTAAGGGAACTCGGTGATGTTGTCGTCTTGGGGTTTTCCTGGGGTTACTCTTGGGGCTCTCGCGGGTCTCTTGGGGCCTACTGGGGGCCTTGGGGCCGAAGGCTCGAAATGTGGTTCGGTGTTTTCCCTCTTGGGAGCTTCTTGTGGCCGTCTGAGGGCCCTCTTCGTCCGTCTTGAGGGCTTCTCGGGCCGTTTAGGGGCGCTTCCGGCAGCCTCGATCTTCGCGCGCGGTTTTACAGGGGGGAAGAAGGGGGAAGGGGGGGAAGAGGAGGAGCAAGGCAGAGGAGGAGGAGGAGGAGGAGGAGGAGGAGGAGGAGGAGGAGGAGGAGGAGGAGGAGGAGCAGGCGTGCTTTGCTGTTTCCGGGGATGGTGCCTTGCTGTTTCCGTGGGTGGCCGCTCGCGTTTCCAGGGTTCGCGCCGCCGTCGTTTCTGGGGCTGGCGTGTGCGCGTTCCGTGGTTCGCGCTTTGCGTTTCTGGGGGGGTCGTGCCTTAGCCTCGTAAGTGGTGGAGAAACCTCAGGCGAAACGCTCCGCCCGCCCTTCCGACTGGACTCGGGGTGCGACAGGGTGGAGTTATTCCCCAATCAGAGCTTGCCTCTGTAGGGGTCCCAGCGGATTAAAGGAGTAGGTGAGGTTGGTCGCCGATTTCGGTGGCCGGGCCCGGGTGCCCGGGTGCCCGGGTGCCTGGCGGTGCCCGGGTGAAGGGGGTGGCTGGTGAGGTGCGTGGCCGATTTCGGTGGCCGGGCCCGGGTGCCCGGGTGCCCGGGTGCCCGGGGGTGCCCGGGTGCCTGGGGGTGCCCAATAGCCCAATAGCCCAGTAGCCCTATAGCCCTATAGCCCTGTAGCCCTAAAGCAGTATAGCCCTATAGCCCTGTTGCCCTATAGCCTTATATCCCTATAGCCCTAGTAGCCTTATATCCCTATAGCCCCATAGCCCATATAGCTCTAGAGCCCCATAGCCCTATAGCACTAAAACATCTGATTGGATTTCTTCTCAGGTATCATTCATAAAGGTAAGGAGGTGGGGAGGAGAAGGAGGAGGAGGAGGATGAGGAGGAGGAAGAGGAGGAGGAGGAGGAAAAGGAGGAGGAGGTGGAAGGAGGATGAGGAGGATGGACATTCTGGAGCTGCTTTCGGGCCCTGGGCGAGCCCCGGATGGCTTCTGTGCGGCGACTCCAGGGCGTCGTTTCCGCCGCCGCCGCCAGAGCTGCCGCCGTCTCTTCCTCGTCGCCGCCGTCGTTGTCCTCGTCGCCGCTGGCACGAGCTGCCTCTCCCAGGCGGCGAACTGCTTCGCTCAGTGCGCGCACTGCGCCCACGAGTCTGGATCCTCTTCAGACGAGGCGAACCACCTGAAGGAGGCGGGTAACGTCATGAAGAAGGTTTCCACAGCTCAGGCGGTCAGTCTCTCTCTCTCTCTCTCTCTCTCTCCCTTTCTCTCTCTCTGCCTTTCTTTCTCTGTACACCTTTCTCTCTCTCTCTCTTTCCCTTTCTCTTTCACTCTCTCTCTCTTTTTCTCCCGCGCGTCACAGAGCCAGCATCAAGACTCTTATTTCGTTGGCTGTAGTGGACTGTTCTGGAGTGTCAGATGCACTGGGTTACATTCGAATGTCTCCGACTTTCACGTGGTGATGCACCGCATCCATCTCCTTCCCGTGACTTGGAAATCGGTTGAACCGAGGATTTTTCGGGATATCTACGGAAGGCATCGTGTCAGCCTGATGTAGTGCTCTCATTACCAGCCTCGCTTTACCAGGAAGTCCTTTGCAGGGAAATTCCTCAGTTTTGCTGCCATCTCCTTCACTTTCTGCTTGGCATCATTCGTCGCAACCTCCGTGGCTCACACGACGGCAGCGTCACTGAAAGCGCCTCTCGCAGTTCGTGGAGGATCAGGTCAGAGTTTGCCAATGCACTGGTCGTCGCCAGGCCATCCAGGAACGGTACTGGCAGAGCTGCCCCATGGGATAAAATGGAGGAGCAACATCGAAACAGGTATTAAGTCGGGCATATCCCTCTACAGGGGGGAGATTTCAAGAATAGTCAAAAGATGTCTGGGGACGATTTTTTTGCACCATTGTTGAGTATTTTTGGATGGATGATGACGAAGATGAGGAGGAGGAGGATGAGGAGGAAGAGGAGGAGGAGGAGGAGGAGAGGGCTTCTTGATGCGTTCTTGGGCCTTCCTAGGGGCCTCCTGGGAGCTTGCCGAAAGCTTTTTCGGGACCCCTGAGGGGCCTCATGGGGTCTCTTGGTGGCCTCTTGGTGGCCTCTTGGGGCTTCTTGGGCCGTCTTAGGGGACTCTTGGTCCGTCTGACGCCCATGGAGGCCGCCTGGGGGGGCTCCTCGAGGTTTCGCTGGTGCCCTCTTGGAGCGGTTCAGGGCCCTCTTGGGGTCCTCTTGGGAGCCCTTTGGGCGATCATGTGGTCCTCTTGGGCCAACGTCGGGCCTTCTTGGGAGCTTCTTGGGCTATCTTGGAGCTATCTTGGAGGCCTCCTGGAAGCTTCTTGGGCCGTCTTGGGCGGTCGGAAGCCCGAACGGGTGAGAACCTCAACATCGTTCAACAACGTAGTGCAAGTCACTGGTTTTGGCCCGCTCGGGCTCTCGAGGAGGGCCTTTTGGAGACCTTTGGGAGCTCTTCGATCTGCCTTGAACGCCGACCTGGAGGCCATGAGGCTCCAACATGACCCAATGGGTCTCCAAGAGCTCCTCCAGGAAAGCCCGAGGAGGCCAATCATATGTTTTTATTGGATTTTGAGGTTCTTGCATGCTTGGGCTTCCGACCGCTCAAGACAGCCCAAGAGGCTTTTCTGGGCAGTATTGTTGCTGTATTGGGGCGCTGCAAGGCCTTCTTGGGCCCCTCTGTGGGAGCCCCATTGGGCGATCTTTGGGTCCTCTTGGGCCGACTTCGGGTGCTTGGGGGCCTCTTGGGCTGTCTTGGAGGTATCTTGGAGGCCTCTTGGAAGCCTCTTGTACCGTCTTGGGTGGTCAGAAGCCCGACCAGGCGAGAACCCCACCATCCTTCAAGCACCTACGGTCAATGGTTTTGGCCTCCTCGGGCTCTGAAGGCATGCTTCTTGGAGCCCTCTCGGGCTGGTCCCCTTCCCTTGGGCTATCTTGAGCCGCCTCGAGGCTCTCTTGAGAGGCTCTTGAGCTCTCGTGGGCAATCTTGAGCCGTTTTGCGGCCGTCTTGGTTGTCCTGGAAGCCGCCTTGGATGCCATCTTGGCCGTCTGGAGGCCGAACATATCTCCAGACCGCATTTCAAAAGGAGCGGTTGTCGAGGAGCGCGCGCGAGGAGGGGGGGTCCTTTCAAACTTTACGGAACTTCCCACGAGATAACACAACGCATTGTAACACGCCCATTCCGTGCAGGCACGGTGGCGAACTGTTCCTTAGGTTTTTCCATGTTTTTTTTCTCTAGAGCTCCTTGTCCACGCAGGCGCCTTCATAGGGCCACAAAAGGGGTTTCGGTCCGTATTGAGTGTTCCTTATTTCTGCAGTCCGACTGTAGGTTGTAGGTCGGAGGCTTCTTGAAGGCTTGTGGGGATCTCTTGAGAGGCCTCTCGGGAGCCTCTTGGAGGTGATGCTTTGGCCCAAGACGGCAACGAGGAACCCAAGATGGCCCAAGATGGCTCCATGATCGCCAAAGAGGCTCCCCAGACGGTGTGAACATTGACCCAAGAACCCCCAAGACACGCCAGGGGACCTAACAGGCTCCACAGCGGCATCGCAAGACACCCAAAACGGACCCTCCAGCATGCGCCCCAAAGCTCCCAAAACGTCCCGAACACGGCTTGAGGCGGAGGGGATGCGGAAAGCCTACCGGCCATCGTCCCTCCTCCCTCGTCTTCCCTCCTCTATCTTGCTCGTCTTCCTCCTCCTCCTCCTCCTCCTCATCCTCCTCCTCCTCTCCTCTTCCTCACTCTCCTCCTCCTCCTCTTTTTTTTTTTTTGTTTGTTTTTCTCGTGCGCTACTCTTGCTTCTCCCTCCTCCTGCCTCCTCCTCCTCCTCCTCCTCCCTCCTTTCCCCTCTTCCTCCTTCGTTTCTCCTCTCTCCTCCCTGGTCCCTCCTGCCCTCCCTCCCCCTTGCCCCTCGCTAGCTTCATCCTCCGCTCCAGGACATTGACTGTCGGATAACGTGGAGGCGGGGAAGGCATAATCAGCGGGAATTTCATGTCAACGTTGTGATCCGTTGTGCGCCCATCGCTGTAACCCAAGCAGTAACACGAATCGCACACTCGGCAACGAAACCGTTGGCTTCGAAACACGCGATTCCAGTTTCTCTGGTCGCGGTCCCTCTTGTGCGGTGCACGCCAGGCTCCGCGCGCTCCATGGTTCTTGTATGGATCTTTGCATTTGCACATGTAAGATATGCGGGGTTCCCCACGTCCCCGGCCAGCCAGCTGGCACACCAGCAAATATTTGGGGTACGGGTTTAGTCCAGGGCGCCCAAAACGGTCTGAGATTGCCCCAGAAGGCTGCAAAAGGCAGAACGATTTCCGACGATCTCCACAGGACAGGTTCAAAATGCTTACGATGGCCTCACGACAGCCCAAGGGTGCCCATGGGAGGTCAGAATCTTCCAGATGAAGGTGCCAAGATGGATTTGAGGTCGTCCTGGGTTTCCCAAGGACGCTCACGAAGGCTCAAACCAGTAAACAAAGATTGTGTGTTTTTCAGTGTTAGTGGCTCTCTCTCGCCTTTTCGGTTCCGATGGGATCTTGGGGGCCTCCAGCTGTCCCCAAGATCGCCCAGCAAAGCTCCAGGAGAGGCCCAAAACGGGCCAAGACACTCCAAGAGGACCCCAAGCTGGCCCTAGGACGGCCCACATCCCTCCAAGGGGCGCCGCCCACGACCCCCCAAAAGAGTTCGAGGAGGCCCCCAAGAGATCCCCAAGATACCTCCCAAGCGCCCCCCCGAGTGGCTGGCACTCCGATCGCTCTCGGCGCCAATGTGGCCCCAGGAGCACCCCAGAGGCCCACAAGATGCTCTCAAGAGGCCCCCAAGAGGCTTCAAGAGGTCCCCAACAGACGCTCGAGTGGCCCCCAAGAGTTCCCCGAGCAGCCCTCGAGAGACTTCAATATTCTTTCTGCACGCTTGAAATTGAAGACGCATCCTTTCGGAAGGCATACAAACACCCTCATCCTCTCTCCCCCTCCTCCTCCTCCTCCTCCTCCTTTCGTGCTTGCAGAGGTCTAGATGCGGAGTGAAGCTGCCTTTTGAAGGCCACTCAGGCTCATGGACCAACTTTGTAGAGCGATGCGCTGACCATCGGATTCGTCCTATCTCCTCTCCTTGCCGTTCTCCTCCCTGATCCTTGGGCCGTCTTGGGCGGTCTTGGGCGGTCGGAAGCCCGAACGGGTGAGAACCTCAACATCGTTCAACAACGTAGTGCAAGTCACTGGTTTTGGCCCGCTCGGGCTCTCGAGGAGGGCCTTTTGGAGACCTTTGGGAGCTCTTCGATCTGCCTTGAACGCCGACCTGGAGGCCATGAGGCTCCAACATGACCCAATGGGTCTCCAAGAGCTCCTCCAGGAAAGCCCGAGGAGGCCAATCATATGTTTTTATTGGATTTTGAGGTTCTTGCATGCTTGGGCTTCCGACCGCTCAAGACAGCCCAAGAGGCTTTTCTGGGCAGTATTGTTGCTGTATTGGGGCGCTGCAAGGCCTTCTTGGGCCCCTCTGTGGGAGCCCCATTGGGCGATCTTTGGGTCCTCTTGGGCCGACTTCGGGTGCTTGGGGGCCTCTTGGGCTGTCTTGGAGGTATCTTGGAGGCCTCTTGGAAGCCTCTTGTACCGTCTTGGGTGGTCAGAAGCCCGACCAGGCGAGAACCCCACCATCCTTCAAGCACCTACGGTCAATGGTTTTGGCCTCCTCGGGCTCTGAAGGCATGCTTCTTGGAGCCCTCTCGGGCCGGTCCCCTTCCCTTGGGCTATCTTGAGCCGCCTCGAGGCTCTCTTGAGAGGCTCTTGAGCTCTCGTGGGCAATCTTGAGCCGTTTTGCGGCCGTCTTGGTTGTCCTGGAAGCCGCCTTGGATGCCATCTTGGCCGTCTGGAGGCCGAACATATCTCCAGACCGCATTTCAAAAGGAGCGGTTGTCGAGGAGCGCGCGCGAGGAGGGGGGGTCCTTTCAAACTTTACGGAACTTCCCACGAGATAACACAACGCATTGTAACACGCCCATTCCGTGCAGGCACGGTGGCGAACTGTTCCTTAGGTTTTTCCATGTTTTTTTTCTCTAGAGCTCCTTGTCCACGCAGGCGCCTTCATAGGGCCACAAAAGGGGTTTCGGTCCGTATTGAGTGTTCCTTATTTCTGCAGTCCGACTGTAGGTTGTAGGTCGGAGGCTTCTTGAAGGCTTGTGGGGATCTCTTGAGAGGCCTCTCGGGAGCCTCTTGGAGGTGATGCTTTGGCCCAAGACGGCAACGAGGAACCCAAGATGGCCCAAGATGGCTCCATGATCGCCAAAGAGGCTCCCCAGACGGTGTGAACATTGACCCAAGAACCCCCAAGACACGCCAGGGGACCTAACAGGCTCCACAGCGGCATCGCAAGACACCCAAAACGGACCCTCCAGCATGCGCCCCAAAGCTCCCAAAACGTCCCGAACACGGCTTGAGGCGGAGGGGATGCGGAAAGCCTACCGGCCATCGTCCCTCCTCCCTCGTCTTCCCTCCTCTATCTTGCTCGTCTTCCTCCTCCTCCTCCTCCTCCTCATCCTCCTCCTCCTCTCCTCTTCCTCACTCTCCTCCTCCTCCTCTTTTTTTTTTTTTGTTTGTTTTTCTCGTGCGCTACTCTTGCTTCTCCCTCCTCCTGCCTCCTCCTCCTCCTCCTCCTCCCTCCTTTCCCCTCTTCCTCCTTCGTTTCTCCTCTCTCCTCCCTGGTCCCTCCTGCCCTCCCTCCCCCTTGCCCCTCGCTAGCTTCATCCTCCGCTCCAGGACATTGACTGTCGGATAACGTGGAGGCGGGGAAGGCATAATCAGCGGGAATTTCATGTCAACGTTGTGATCCGTTGTGCGCCCATCGCTGTAACCCAAGCAGTAACACGAATCGCACACTCGGCAACGAAACCGTTGGCTTCGAAACACGCGATTCCAGTTTCTCTGGTCGCGGTCCCTCTTGTGCGGTGCACGCCAGGCTCCGCGCGCTCCATGGTTCTTGTATGGATCTTTGCATTTGCACATGTAAGATATGCGGGGTTCCCCAGGTCCCCGGCCAGCCAGCTGGCACACCAGCAAATATTTGGGGTACGGGTTTAGTCCAGGGCGCCCAAAACGGTCTGAGATTGCCCCAGAAGGCTGCAAAAGGCAGAACGATTTCCGACGATCTCCACAGGACAGGTTCAAAATGCTTACGATGGCCTCACGACAGCCCAAGGGTGCCCATGGGAGGTCAGAATCTTCCAGATGAAGGTGCCAAGATGGATTTGAGGTCGTCCTGGGTTTCCCAAGGACGCTCACGAAGGCTCAAACCAGTAAACAAAGATTGTGTGTTTTTCAGTGTTAGTGGCTCTCTCTCGCCTTTTCGGTTCCGATGGGATCTTGGGGGCCTCCAGCTGTCCCCAAGATCGCCCAGCAAAGCTCCAGGAGAGGCCCAAAACGGGCCAAGACACTCCAAGAGGACCCCAAGCTGGCCCTAGGACGGCCCACATCCCTCCAAGGGGCGCCGCCCACGACCCCCCAAAAGAGTTCGAGGAGGCCCCCAAGAGATCCCCAAGATACCTCCCAAGCGCCCCCCCGAGTGGCTGGCACTCCGATCGCTCTCGGCGCCAATGTGGCCCCAGGAGCACCCCAGAGGCCCACAAGATGCTCTCAAGAGGCCCCCAAGAGGCTTCAAGAGGTCCCCAACAGACGCTCGAGTGGCCCCCAAGAGTTCCCCGAGCAGCCCTCGAGAGACTTCAATATTCTTTCTGCACGCTTGAAATTGAAGACGCATCCTTTCGGAAGGCATACAAACACCCTCATCCTCTCTCCCCCTCCTCCTCCTCCTCCTCCTCCTTTCGTGCTTGCAGAGGTCTAGATGCGGAGTGAAGCTGCCTTTTGAAGGCCACTCAGGCTCATGGACCAACTTTGTAGAGCGATGCGCTGACCATCGGATTCGTCCTATCTCCTCTCCTTGCCGTTCTCCTCCCTGATCCTTCTGCCCTCCCCTCTCGATGCTCCTGCAGAGGCTTTGGGGATCATGTGGCGTCGCTTCCCCTCCACTCCCTCCTCCTCCGTCTCCTCCTCCTTCTCCTCTTCCCCCTCCTCCTTCTCCTCCTCGCCGTTGCGGCGCCGCCCCTTTTCGGCATACCCCTCACGAGGATCGCGGCCCCATACGGAGCTCCACCGAAACGGGTGCCCAAAACGCGGTACTCGCAACTGCATAGGATATTTGTTTTCTGCGTTGGAATGCTGTTTCATGCTTTGGCCTGCTCCTTCCTGTGCCCGTGCTCATTGCTATGAATTTTCTTCCGTTGGTCAGACCACCGTTAAGACCTGTACGTGCGCTGCGTCTCCATCTCTTTCTCTGTCTCTCTCGTCTCTCTCTTGTCTCTCTGTTGTCTCTCTCTCTCTCTCTCTTTCAATTTGTTGTTTTTCTATTTCTCTCCCTCTCTCTCGGACATGTCCTAGGAGATCCCTGGTCTTTTTATGTGTTCCGGCACTCGCGATAATGAGCAGGCGGTCGAGTACTTCGAGAAGGCCATCGGCATTTACAGTGCCGGGGGGCGCTTCCAGGAATCAGGCGGGCTGGGAACGTCTGAACTGAAGAGGGGAGCTGGATGAGATATTCGATGAGCCCTGGCCGCAATGCCATCGCCATGTGCTTAGGGATCCAGATGCGTGAAAGAGCGTCAGCTGACTACGCCAGGAGGAAGGCAGGGGGAGTCGACGCCCCCCGCGCTCCAAAAGCCTGGAGGAGGGGGGGTTCAAACCCCCCTCCCATCCCGAGTGAAAGCCAGGGAGGGGGTTCAACCCCCGACCCCAGGCGCCTGCCCCCTCCCCGTCCCCGCGCCGACAAGCGACGACGACGACCGGCACATGACGGCGGCGACGACGACGACGTGTCCTGCGTGCCCGCCCGACCAGCTCGCCCATGACGACGTCGACACCGTGTTCCATGCGCCTGCCCGACCGACGGACTCGCTCACGACGACGGCGACGGCGACGGCGACGGCGACGGCGACGGCGCCCGGCGCCAGCAGACGACGACGACGACGACGACGACGACGAGGACGACCACCACGACGGCGATCACGACGACGAAGAGGACGACGACGCGTCCCGCCCGCCCGCCCGATTGCTTGCGACGACGACGTCGACGACGTGCCCCCCCCCCCCTGCCGCCCGCCCGACGACCGCCGCCGACAAACGACGACAACGATTACGACCATTACGACAATGACGATAACGATGACGACGACCACGACGACGACGACCACGACGACGACCACGACGACCGTGACGACGGCGGCGGCGGCGACGACGACGACGATGACGACGATGACGTGTCTCGCCCGCCCGTCCGACGGACTTGCCTGCGACGACGTCGACGACCCGTCCCGACCGCCCGCCCGACCGACGGACATGCCGCCCAACGACGACGACTCGACGCGGGGGCGGGGTTTTAACACCCCCCTCGACTTCCTGGAGGCCATGGGGAGGGGGGGGGGAGGGCGACCGTTGTTGTCGCCGGCGAAGAGGGGCGGGGATCGTTTCGGGAGAGGAGGAGGGGAGGGCATTTTCGAGGGGTGGGGCGGGGCCTCTGTTCCAAACTGGGGGAGGACAGGATTTTGCACGAGTCGGACGCGTACACAGAAGACGCTCTCGCAGGTGTAGCGACTTGCCGCGCTCACGCCCCATGGGAATCGACTCTTGCCCTTCTTCTCCGAACACTCCGATCTTGATTCCGACATCAGCGGCAAACTGTACTTACAGCTCGCAGCGCTTGCCGTGCACGCGTATCAGTGAGAGTCGCGGCCAGCTCGCGCCGCCGCTGGGCTGTCAGAGCGGGGCAGAGGCGTGGCCTGTTGGCTCTCCGCGGCAGTTTGCGCGTGCCACGCCGGCTCAGCCCGGCCGGTGTCGGCAACGCGAGGGCGCGCCAGCGCCGTGAACGTCTGCTGGCGCCCCTCTCTCCTCGTCGATCCCTCGTCGGCCGCTCGGGCGGCTCCCGAGCCGCGAGCCGCTGGGTTGGGCGCGTCTGCCGTGGTTGGCTCGCGGGCGACTCCTTCTGCGTGCGTCGCCCTGGGGCAGGCCGAGTACGTGCTGGCGAGGTGCGTCTCGTGATTGCCATCTTTCCGCAGCCACACTGTCGTCAGGTGCGGTAGGCAACCAACCTGCGTGTGTGATCCCACCCTGCTGGTGATGGATGGGCGCCTCCGCTCCTCGCGGCTCAGCGCCGCTCCTTTTGCGCCTCGTCCATGGTACGATCTTGCATTTGTGCAGGGAGCAGCTTCGTCGTTGGGACAGGAGACCGAACAGCAATCGCTCTGTTCGATGATGCGGAGCACTATCAGGATGCCATTACGTATGATAATGAACACTACAAGTATGGGGAGGGCCGCATAACACCTAACTTCCCAAACAAAGCTTGCAATCATAGAGCTCTCTATACATACATACATACATACATACATACATACATACATACATACATACATACATACATACATACATACATATATACATACACACACATACATACATACACACATACATACATACATACATACATACACACATACGTACATACATACATACATACATACAGACATACAGACATACATACATACAGACATACATACATACATACAGACATGCATGCATGCATGCATACACACATACATACATACACACATACATACACACACACATACATACTTACTTACATACCTACGTACACACATCGATACATACATACACACATACATACATACATACACACATTCATACATACATACAAACATACATACATGTATGCATGCATGCATGCATGCTTACATCCATACATACATACATACGTACGCACATGCGTACATACAGACACACATACATGCACACATACACACATACATACATCCATACATACATACATACACACACCTACATACATACATACATACATACATGCATGCATGCATGCATGCATGCAAGTATGCCTGCATGCATTCATGCATGCATGCATGCATGGCGTACATACATTCATACACATACTCACGTACATTCATACATGCATACAAACGTACATACACATACATATACATATACATATACATATACATATACATATACATATACATATACATATACACATACATATACATATACATATACATATACATATACATATACACATACATATGCATACACATGTACACATACACATACATATACATATACATATACATATACAAAGACACATACATATACATATACGTATACATATATATATATACATATGCATATACACATACATATACATATACATATACATATACATATACATATACATATACATTCACATATTCACATACAGACATCTACATCTACATCTACATCTACATCTACATCTACATCTACATCTACATCTACATCTACATCTACATCTACATCTACATCTACATCTACATCTACATCCACATCCACATCCACATCCACATCTACATCTACATCTACATACACATATACATATACACATACATATACATAGACAGATACATATACATATACATATACACATACATACACATATACACATACACATACATATACATATACATGCATACATGCATACATGTATACATGCATGCATACAAACATACATACATGCATGCACACATGCATACACATGTATACACACGTACATACAAACATACATACAGACATCAGCCCCGCCCCTGGTAACGTTACGTATCGTGCCGGCGCCGTTTGGGAGCGCTTAGGAACAGCCAGAGACAGTGAGGATGGCAGACATCGATAGGGATTTGCTACGGCAGAGCGCGCATACCTATTGGGATCTGCTACGGCAGAGCGCTTCCCTTTTCCTTTATCTCCCATTCCGCCTCCCCCATCTCCTCCAGTCCTCCTCGTCTCTTGCATTACGATGCAAATTGTTTCACGCAAGGGCAGAAGAAGGGAGAGGGAGTTGGGAGGAGGGAGTGGGCGAACAGGCCGGACCAGGCCGAAACGACCTGTTTGATTACGCTTCTGTTATCGATTCGTGCTCTGGTGTGTGTGTGTGTGTGTGTGAGTGAGCGTGGGCGCTCCTGGGCTCGAGAGGCGAAGTGGGCTCCTCGTCGTCGTCGTCGTCGTCGTCATCCTCTCCTTTTCTCTTCCTCATGCTCCTCCTCTCTTGTCGTCCTATTCCTCCTTATTGCGTTGGGGGGCTGCGGAATGGGGTGAGCCCATGAGCTACACGTGTGCCGCCAACACCGCATTGCATTCTTTCTCGATCGAGAATATCAAGATGTTTCCACGCTCCCCGAAACACTTAAATGTAGGAAGCCAGCGGCATGATGTTCTCTTCCAGCGGCGCGATATCTCTCCTTGCGCGAAGGCGCTCTGTAACCAGTGATGGTTACCGCGATTGGACGACTTGCTTGGACGACTAATGCTGGTCCTACTGAATCGACACCAGCACGGATGCACACGATGATTCGCACCAGCGAACGTGTTGCAATCAGTACCTGACGGCCCCTAATTTGGGGCTGCCAGGCTGCGAACACGAGACCCTCAGCTCGGATGAGGCAGAGCGTGCGCCTGCGAGCACCACAGTGGCCCGCGAACACCACAGCATGTTCGGCTAGGAACACACACACATCGCACGAGGACCACGACAACAGGAGGAGGAGGAGGAGGAGGAGGAGGAGGAGGAGGAGGAGGAGGAGGAGGAGGAGGAGCAGGATGCGGAGGAGGAGGAGGAGGAGGAGGAGGAGGAGGAGGAGGAGGAGACCGTAGCCATTCTGGCTTAAGCGCCCCGCGTCCGAGGCACTGCTTTTCACTGCTGGGCGTCTGCCCCACCTACATATCCATTTACACACTGCTTCTCGGCCTGTCGGCCCGCAGTGCATGCGCCGCCCGGCGCCCTTCTCATTCTTGTGTGCGCTCGTTCTCGCACAGACAGGCCTCCTGGCGAGAGGGGAACTCGACGCCAGCCTCGATCCGACGACCGAGCTCCTGCAGGCGCCGGGTCCGGCGCTTCTCATCGGCATCGCCGCTCCGAAGATCGATCCCGCGACGCTGCAGCTGGAGCAGGATCTGCTACACTTCGGAGGAGCCGCAGTCAGCAACGGCGTGGTGAGGCGCTCTCCGAAGGCGAACGCGCTGACCCATGGCAGCCTGGCAGCTCTGAGCACCGCGCTGACCCCTGGCAGCCTCGACCCCGCGGCGACGGCGATCGGCGACCTCCTCGCCCCGGCTCCGACGGCGACGGCCGGGATCGGAAGGGCTCCCACAGCCCTGGGCGGAACGATGACGCCTCCAGCACGGACCGCGCTGACGACGACGACCACGTCACCAGGGCAGAGCATCGCCACGCTCTCAAGGAGTTGGCGTCGAGGATGGGCTCCAGGATCTCCGCCATGGCGGAGGCGCATAAGGACGCGGCGAACAACACCGCCACCAGATTCAAGAAGATCGCGGCTGACGTCACCAGCCTGGGTTCAGAGATCGCCCAGGAGTGCCAGAATCTCTTCGGTCGGCGCATCGACACGCTGGAGAAGCGCATGGACGACGTTGACATCACCA